GTTAATCATGAATTTGAATTATACTAACACAAGTTAATTTTATATACAAGGGCTTTGTTCTTTTTTTGGTTTCTATTGTTTTACTAAACACCACCATATTCCTTATAAAATCATCTCATAAAAGATCATATTTAAACTATTATTCAATAATTATAAAAAAATCACACTAAATAAAAAAAATTAAAAAAAAATACAGAATTCTAGAGAATGAGAATATAATGAATGATAAATTGTGTTTATAATGTAAAACAAGTATTTGTGCTAAACTTTCATATCCAACCCTAGTCCTAACATGATCACTAAAATAACAAAATGAAATAAATGTTAGCACTATCAAATAAGTACTCCATCATTCATCCGTACGCCTTCAAGGATCACATTTATTTTTTGCATCATCATATTCAACATTAAAATATTCTTATATTTGTATAATTTTTTGTACAAATATCATTCTATTAGTATTATAAGACACTAATGGAAGTATTTTCGCAATTTTTTCTTAATTTGTACTACATTTTGATATTAATAATTAATATTCAAATATCAAAACGCAAAAAGTATATGAGACCATTTAGTAATAATTTTTTTGAAAAATACCTGGTTAGAGTGTTGATTGGAAATTTATCATTACGGTACTGATTATCTCAATCATCATATGAAAATACTACAGATAACATGTGTATGGTCCGTCTTATTTTATATGTGTGCTGTTAAATTATATCTAATGTGTTTATATGATATATATTACTGTACCCAGTGACGGAACTAGCTTTCGGACTTTGGAGGGTAGAGTTGTTATGTTAATTTTATTTTTCTTAATTATTCAATTTCAATTTAAATATATTTTGAACCGTTAATTTTCGACATTTTATTCAAACCGATAGTTTGGCTTATTTATGTGTGAAAAAATTATTAGAAACTACTCGTCAATTCATTATCATTAATTCGGCATTACTTTATCTTCTTTAATTTCTTTTGACACTATAGTGAAATTACAAAGAAAAATAAATAAAGTTCAGAAGAAGAAAAAAATGAAATATATGGTAAAAGTGTAGTAATATTTACAATAAAAATTAATTTGTATTTGAATATAAAATATATTTAATTAAAATTATTATATAATATTATAAATTAAAGTATGGATTTAGGGATAAAATAGAGTGATAGATTTGAATTAGAAAAAAAAAATATAATTAGATTAAAAAATATTATTTTTACTTAAAAAAAAAAAAAACGGTTTACAAATTTGAAACACTTTGTTGTTTCTGGTAATGGGTTCGGATATAATTGAAGTTCATATCAATTAAGAAGTTGAAATAAAAAGACTCTCGTGCAAATAATTCTTTTTTTTAAAAAAAAAGAAAAAACAACACATAGATAAAAAGCAAGTATATTGGAATTTGGCCACCAACGAGTTTATTAATTTTATAAAATTCTAATTCTACTTTTAAAAATGTACAAAAATGATATTAAAATTATATTTTTAATCTTCACGCCAAAAAAAAAAGTATTTTGAATATAATTTTATATAACAGAGGAAGCATATGTTTATTCACATGGCATTGAGGGAGTATAAACTATAGTTAAAATCTATATCGGCTAACAAAACTATTATTAGCCAAGATATGACATTTAATAAAAAAAAAATGTCTTGTTTAATTTCATTAGTATCCGAAAATAATGAAATGTGTTTGTATATAAATGATTTTGAGGTTTATGCTCAAAACACTTTGTTAACTGAAAGTGTGGTTTAGTTATTAAATAAATCTTTTGTTATGAAAAATAAAGAATCGGAACTTGATTTTATTAAAGAAAAAACAACGAAATAACAAACAAAAATTTCAACTAGAATTTGGTTTTAAGATCAGTTCCGAAACCACCCAAAAATACAAAATCGCACACACACACATAAATGCGACATAAACAATCGAACCGGCCCAAGACCCCTAGCCTAAACCGAGGGTTCGGATCATGGTTAGAATCAGGTTCTATTGGGCCACATAATTTATATATGTTTATATTTGTATTTGAATCCAATAATGGGCTTAATACAATTTTCATCGACCAAAATTTTGTAACACTTTTACTTTCTTGTTTGATTTCATTTATCTATGTTGTTATCATAAGGATAATCAAATTTTTTATCCTAAGTTTGTTACAATAGTATATATCATATATGTATATATAGGTAGGTCAAAAGGTAAATGGACGGTTGAGATCAAATCAAATCCCTTGATAAGGAGGTTGATATTCAATCTCGCGTGAATTGGGCCAAAGAGTATGGGCCATTGAATTTGGGTTGGACTTTTAAAAATGTGATTTGGGCTTCTATCAATTCATCAGCACCAAATTGAACATTGTTATCATAGAACATTACAAGTAGAACCCATCTTATAAAATTTTGAGGAAATAATTTAGATGAAAAAATTGGAAGTTTGTGAAAAAAATTACTGTTAATTATTAAAAATTATAAAATATTTTGGAAAATTATGATATTCTTAGGAATAAAGTAGTTTTAATTATTTTTGTAAATATTTTGAAAGAAAAACAGAAATATGGATGGAAAGATTTATTAGTAGTTTATAATATAAATGATAAAAGAACACATGTAATGTGTACTTAGTTTGGATGATAAATTTATTTTTAAAATAAATTTATTAAATGATATAAAAATTGTGATGTTTGGATTTAGCATAACAAAAAAGAGTCATTTAAAAAAAAAAAAAAACAAACAAAAGAATTCCGATAAATTTTTCAATGGAATATCATTATGTAGGTTTGATAGCAATTGTAGATTCTACATCATTTTTTTAAAAAAAAAAAAAAAAAAAAAAAAAAAAAAGAAGAAGAAGAAGAAGAAGAAAGAAAGATATATATATATATATAATCATTAATCAAAATAAATTTTATTAAATATTCTTCTATATATATTTCTTAAAACAAATATTTATAATTGATAAATTTACATAACTCTAATAAATGCTCCCAACTAAATAAAAATTAACGTACCAAATTTCATTCTCACCAAATTCAAAATTTTAAAAAATAGCCGTTAAATAATTTCTTCAGTTTTTCTCCCAAATTAAAATAGCAAATCAGTAATGAGCCTATCGAAATCAAGCAAAGCAAAGCAATGGAGCGGAGTGGAGAAAATGGCGAAGCGAGGAGGAAGATAAGCATTGAATTCGGCATGGCGGGTGACAAGTTTAATCTAATCGATATTCTATCAGAGGATGATGAGTTTCTATCTGCTTCGCCATTTGCGGTGGATTCTTTCAAAGGTAGTTTTGATCTCATTCTTTTTTTATTTCTTCTTTTGATTATCATCAACATGCACACCAATTGTTCGACAAAATTCCTTTATTGATTTTACCTTTTCTTTTTCGACACTTTTTTGATATTTTATATATTTGATTTGATATTCGTGAAATTATTTGACTATTTGATTTGATATTCAATTCATTTCGAAATTTAAAATGACATTTGTTTTCAATTCAAATTAATTTAAAATTACTCTGACTTTATTCAAGTATTTAAATTCGAATTTCTTAAATACAATTTTAACAATAATATTAAAATATTCGATTCATTATAATTTTAATTATATATATATAATTTTTGAAAAGTAATATAATAAATAAATTTGATTTTCTTTATTCAATTTGAAAAGATATATATTCTATATTTTATTATAGAACCAAATATTAAAATTTTGCATTTATATTCATTCAAATTAGAATTATACTACAATAAAGTTTTCAAATCGAATTTCGAATTAAATAAAATTTTAAATCGAATAAAATTATTTGATTCATTTAGAACTTTAATTACGCGAATACAGGCTTTAGGTTATCAGGGATAGGGAGTCATCAAGAACTAGAGCCAAATGACCAAAAAGAAGAGAATCTGTTACCTGTCGAATTTACGAAGCCATCAAGACCAAGTTTTTTGAGGAAAAGTTTAGCTTGGGACAGTGCATTCTTCGACAATGCCGGTATGTCCGATCAGCTCCTCGATTCAGACATTCTTACAACATCATATCTTCTTGTAATATTTCTTTCATCTGCAAATGCAATAGGTGTTCTTGATCCTGATGAGTTATCCTACATTAACAAGGGATTTAAAAAAGCTCCCGATGCGCGCGAACAAAGGTCCGAGTCGATCACAGCCACCGGCAGCAACAAGTCCTGTCGAGCGACGAATCCACAACATCGATTGCATCGCGCTCAAAGCTGTAAGAACAACAATGGCTCCAGTAAGTGTCAAATTTGAATATTGCATTTTACTCTGTCCGACTAGGCCAAAACTTTTTAAAAAATTAATTCTAGTTATATTTTGCGTAAACTTTTTTTAATTAAAAAATAAATTATATTAATTTAAATAAATAAATTATAGTAAAATAATTTTTTAATAATAATAAATAATTTGAACATTAAATATATAATTAATTTTGTTATTTTCATATGTCCCGTTGTAGATATTCGTTTCTTTTTTAAATAGAAAATATATTTTAATTAAAAAAGAAAATATTTGTCCTTATTTTTCTAATTCCACTAATAATACTCTATTATCATTCATATTTATAAATATTAATGTCCTCGAATCAGCGTGTACAAAAGTTAAATAACTATTTTAATATATTTTTTAATTTATTTATAACCTTAAATTTTTAGCGGTCTTGATCGAATTTTTTGCAAACTCTAGTTAAAAATTCTAAACATACATTCCGGAATTTCGGTTTCTTTCCTCTCCTATTCGCGCCTATCGTTTAACTATTTCTATACAGGTTTCAGAAAACTCGGAAGATCTTCGAGTAGCATGGTGAGTTTAAAAAAATAATTACCGCGCTCTCTTCGTAAACATTTTTTGAGCTTAGATCAAATCGTTTGTTTCATCTGATCAATACAGGTGAAATCCGATCAAGCGACACCGGCCGCAAAAGTGTTAATGTTCATAACAAAGAGAAGATGAAGGAGGTTTGTCACTTACCATTTTCGCCACAATTTTTTCGTAAGAAACTTATCGATTCCTCTGTTTTCTTTAAGACAACGCCGGCGAGGAGCAGCGCAACAGGGTCCAACATCGGCAGCTTGTCCGCGAAATCTAGTGTAAGAAAAGGAAGTCCGTCAGCTGCAGCCACAGCTGGTTTGGGACTTTCAGACAATACGAATATTGCCGACTCATCGCGGCTTCGCCTCCCATCGCCTCGGCTAAGGTTCTTCGACGAGGTTCGTTCTATTCCCATTTTTCTCTTTTCTTCTTTCTTTCTGTCTGAGAATGTTGTAAAACTTCGTTATCCACAGAATACCCCGTCAAGATCCAGCACGGCGTCTGAAAGAATTCCATTCGATCAATCAAGAACCTTAAAACAATCGAGGACTGTTGGTTCGAGTTCATTTCTTACAGCCGAGAAAGAAATTTTGTCAAAAAGCAAGAGCATTGTCGATCAAAGGTGTAGAAATTCAACGAACCAACTCAGCATCGTCAATTCGTGTCCTAAAGAAAGTGCGGCGAAAAGGGATGCACCGAGGGGCCGAATCGGCAATCTGAGCCAACAATTAATCGAACCCGTCGATCTGAAGAAACGAGAGAAGGTCGAAGAAATCAAGAAAGGGAAGACGTACAGAGCTTCTCCATTGTTCAAACAATTGAAGAAATTGTGTCCATCACTCGATAGTTCAAGAATGCCTCTTGCAGACAAGACAGGTAAGTACGACCTTAATGGAACGAAATCGACATCGTATGGATCCAAGAAAGACAAGTTGGGGAAGCTGCAGGCAATCATGAACCTGTAGTTTCTTCTTCCGGATCGAATGGTCTCAGCCAATTTTATATTTCATTTGATCACAAACTGTTACTATGCTAAATAAATATCAATGTTGGCAACATCTTAAATAAAAATTGACAAACACATAAATATAAAACTTTTTCAGTCGAAAATTTATGTTGATATAATATAAAATTGAATATTTATGTTGTAACGAAATAAGATTTAAACATACCAACAATTTTTATGTTGTAACGAAATAAGATTTAAACATACCAACAATTTATCTTATTATGTTTAAGTTAATATAATAGAAGAGGAAGATTAGGATTCTCCAAATCAGCACATATACAGTATAGAAACAAAGGGTAAACAAAAGGGTCTTTATTACATAGAGCATGTGTTTGTAATAAAAAAATATGTTTGTTAGTTCATAATTATAATGTAGTTTGATGTGCTAAAATATTATACGCAAGACTATATGATGCACTTAAAATATAAGCTATAATTAGATATATACTTGCTGATTATCCTTATACTATCGTATGTTAAATATAATATTCCAAATAACTATTTAAATATAAAATAATCGTTAGATAAATATATAGATTGGATAACTTCTATCGAATAAATAGCCTGTGAATCGATGATATAAATAACCTGTCTCACTAAAAAATTTAGATATCATTTATTTATTTAAGTTTTGTTCATCAAACATCGTATTATTAAGCTGCAGACCATCTTCAATCCCAAGAAATCAAATCAAAACTTAACAAAGTATAAAACTTATGAGAAAAAGATCAAAACAACAAGAAGAGCAGAATAATCTCTCTCTCTCCTCTCTCTCTCTCTACATAAATTCCAACTTGACAAACACAGAATATAATTCATAGCAAGTCATCATCTGCAGAACAGCCAGCCAGCCAAGAACAAACAAACAAACAAACCCTAATTTGGCCCTCTAAATAAAAATTATTAGCATTAATTAATGTGATAATTATTCATATTCGATGGATCGAATAGTACTTCTGCTGCATAAGATCGATCATCCCACCAAGACATAAAGAGCATATATAATCCCTGGAATATACCCCAAGATTGTCAGCAGCAAATCAATCCAGAACTCAACCTGCACACCAATCCAATCAAAAACCCCCCAAATCAATCATTCAAATAACACAAAACCCTAACCCTAATTATATATATACATATAATTAGCAACTGATTATATATATATTAATTAATTAATTAATTACCGACCCCACATCCGTATCTGAGAAAAACACCGACGGGAGGCAGCAGAATTGCCAGAATTACTTCAAGAAATGTTTCAGAACCCATTAATTCTTCTCTCGATCTCTCAACACTTTTTTTCTGGTTTTTATGGAGAAATTTACTTAAAACGGTGGAGACGACAAGAACATGAAGACGAGGGAGGGTGGGTGGTTGTTGGGAGGTGGGGGTGGGGTATGGGTGTCAAGTTTCGAAGAGATCAAGATTGGAGAAAAGCCCACGTGGCATCCCACGTAGCTACGTGGCCTCGATGTAGACATAACTATCATTAAAAAATAAAATAATAATAATAATAATAAAAAAAAAATGTAGACATATAAAACTATCTCTATGCATACATCACCTAAGGCCACGTTTGGTGTAAGAATCACGGATGAGAGTGACATTTCATAACATAGAAGAACATATATTTATATTATATTTATGCACATGAAATTATTAATTAAAAATAAATTTATAAATACATTTTAAAATAATATATATTAAAAAATAAAATATCATATATATTCAAACGAATTTAATCGAGTCGAATATCAACACAAGTTAGAACAATAAAATTATTAAAGAACCGAATTCGAACACTAAAATGAGTTTGGATGTTTAACGAATGACCACGAGTCTTATCTGCTAATGTTAAGAAATGAATCCAAATACTTAAAATTTTGTTCGATTTGACTCCATAACGCGATGATTCCGAATTGATCGAAACCCTAGGACCCCTATTCATTTAATTGGGTTTGATTAAATAAATATTGGGTTGATATAAATAGGGTATATATTACTCTTTGTATTGGATCCAAGGTGTAATAGTGGATTTGGACTTGCAATTGGATTCGACCTATTAACATATCTATGATATTTAAGGAAAAAAAACATTTTGTATTGATTCAATTATTTCTAAAATATTTTGGTTGAGCTTCAGTTATTTGTTTGTGACAATTTAATTATAATTTCTGAAATAAATATATAGAATTTGAAGTTGTTACTTAACATATTCGAACAGAACTTTAACGGCTTTCGATTTAATATTCGCGAATAAGACTTGTGCTGCTTCGTTAAGCATTCTATATTGATAACGTGAAAACACAGTATGTTTATTTGGTAAATGTTTAGGAAAATTAATTTGAATTTAATGTTAAATTAATAATTGATGGAATATTTTATTAGATATTTTTTTTCGGGAAATATAGAGTCAAAATAATAAAATGGGAGAAATTTTAGTTAAAAAAAATATTGAGTTTGATGACAATATATATCTTAGAGCTGTCAAAATTGGTTGAGTTTGATTCGCCTTATTTTTAAAGAGGACTGATATTTAATATTTTAGATCGGATAAAATGTGAGCCTAAATGAGTTAATTGACTAGGATTGCGGGTTAGAAGTGGGTTAGCCAGTTGGCTAAAAAAATATATGTATAATTATATTATATAGTTATTATTTCAAATAAATCTACCTATTTTGCCATTTTAATTTGTCCAATATTAAAAATTTATTTTATTTTAGTAATTTTACTTACTACATAACTTTAAAAAATTCTTATAACTTGCATATCATTACAACAAAAATCATCGTTACTGTATAATGCTAATATTTTATAATGGTTTTGAAAACATTTTATATTAAATTAAATCAAATAATTAAGTTATTAAAAACTTTGATATTATGTTAAACTAATTAATCAATATATATTGTGTGTGATATTACTCTCTTTAATAACTGTTTTAATCGATATCATTGTCTTCTTTATTTTAATTTTTTATTTGTTTTAGTCATTTTTCATTTTTTTGTAAATTTTTTTCTTCTAAAATTGATTGAAAAAATTATAAGAATAATACATATTTATTGTTTAAATATTTTTATTAATAAATTTTAAAAAAATAACGATCAATAATATTTAAAATTTTGAATCAATTTATGCTACATATTTATTTTTAAATATTTATTATTTAACCTCTAAAATATAATATTTTTTATATTAAATATATATATATAATATTTTTAAAAACTCGTGGGTTCATCCGCTTGGCTCGCCACCCTCGGGTGGGTTGGGTTTGGTTGCCTTTTTTAGCATGCTCTGCCGTGTTAGCCCACAAATAACCCGCTTATTTGCGGGTTATGGTGAGTTGTGGGCTAATTTGCCCGTCAATCCATTTTGACAACTCTAATATATATACATATAGGGTGTGTTTGTTTGGGGGATTGGATTTTTAATCCATTATTCATCCCATTTTTTTCCCCCAAAAAATATCAAATCAAACACCTATTTTTTATTTTTTATATTATATTAAAAATTAATTTTACATTCAAAATATTACATCAATACCTATTTATATCATAGCATATAACTATTCAAATTCAAAATTTTTACTATATAAATTTCAATTCAAAATCCAAACTCCCGAACAAACACATCATGTGTAATAGAAATAAGCCAACAACTTATAAAGGACCTACAGTCTAACTTGCATAAGACTTTGTTTAACCTAGTGTGTTTACTAAGGGTGCATTTCCTTTAAATGATTGTATTATAATACGAAAAATTATTTCAAGAAATTATATAATCATAAGATTAATTAATATAGTGTTTGCTTTGATTGATTAAACGTTGAATCAAATTGTATTATATATAAAAATTTCTACAAAAATAAATTTATATTTCAAAAAGTCAAATAAAAATACATTTTAAATAAATATTTAAAAAGTATATTATAATATTTATGTAAAATGATTCCAAATGTCTAAAAAGTTAGATAATTTCGAGATTTATTAGGTGAGATTAAATAATATTAGGGGAGAAATTGTACTAATAATTCTGTCAAATGTTACTATTGTATCTGGCCCGTAGTTATCTCGCGCTCCAATATATTAAAGTAAAAATGGGATTAAAGCGGATAAAATAATATTATTCACACCAATCATGTAGTAAACGCACCCTAAAAGCATTAAACTCTAATATATTTTCAAACTTTTTAAATTAAATAGAAGGCTTTGTAAAAAGTTTTTTTTTTTTTTTTTTTTTTTTTTTTTTTTGCCTTTCAGACCGGTCTGTTTATATATTTATAGATATCTATCTAATATATATAAATATTATATTTTAATTGTTTATTATTCATAAAATTTATGTTTGGTGATATTAAAAAATATAGAAATTAATTTATTTTAATTGACTTATTATATATAATAAATAATTGTATTTACTTTTTTACAAATATTAAGTTTGAAAAATTAAAAAATATATATATGTTGATGTAATTTTTCAACAAAAATAAAGTAAAATTCAAAGATATAGAAAATATCCTTAAACTTGATTAATTAGTGCCTGAGATTAGGAATCTCTAAACACTGTATGGTACAGAAAATAAACTGGAAAATAAAAGACTGAAATTTAAAGTGGTGATCCCCAAATCTGACTTTGCTTTGTTGAAGTTGATTGAAGATACCCTGCCAAATGATTATCCAAACCTTTAAATATTCTCTGGGAAACCGTACTGAAAACTGTCACCCGAACGGTTACAACGTCTCCTTTCCAACCGTCTTCCAATCCTTCTCCTGCTGACACGTGTCCTCAGCAGACCAAAATTATCCCTATATTCCACTCTTTGAGCTGGCCACAGACCTTCCGCCTTTTAGGCCCGACTGCCAAACTACAACAGTATGGGTCCGATTGCCAATCCTCCCGACTTGCAAACCATCTGACTTGTTTGGTTTAGCTACAGACATCCCGACCAACAAACCACCCGATTTGTTGGTTCTGCCGCAGAATTCCGTCCTGATAACTTCCCGACCTGAGGGCCCCCCGACTTGCGGACTTCCCGTCCTGAAGGCCCCCCGACCTGCAGACTTCCCGTCCTGAAGGCCTCCCGACCTGCGGACTTCCCGTCCTGATGACTTTCCATCTTGAGGACCTCCCGACCTGAAAACCTTCCGACCTGAGGTCTTTCCGTCTTGAGGACCTCCCGACCTGAAGACCTTCCGACCTGAGGTCTTTCCGTCTCGAGGACCTTCCGACCTGAGGTCCTTCCGTCCTGATGACTTCCCGCCTTGAGGACCTCCCGACCTGAAGACCTTCCGTCCTGAGGACCTACCGACCTGAGGTCCTTCCGTCCTGAGGACCTACCGACCTGAGGTCCTTCCGTCCTGAGGACCTTCCTTAGAAATAAACCTATTTTTCCTTGATTTCCTCACGGTGTCCTTCAGCCAGTTCAATCAACTCTATTGCCAGGCCCATTCTTCTTTTTACCTTGGGCTTTTAACCTAATTCTAAATTTCGTACGTAACAACTTGCCCGCCGCCAAGGGACTTTCAAACGCCAGTTAACAATCAATGTTTGGAAGTTCATACATCACTACCCTTTTGAAAAACTCCCTTAGCAACTGCAACACTCCTGATTAACTTCCTTCCCCGCAATACGAGCATTTGTGAATCACAATCCCAAAACACTCTAATCATGGCGAATCAATGCATTCCTGCCCTTCCTTTCGACGGAAACCTCCCAGAGGGCCCGTTTTCCGCCTCGAAAGTACTAACTCCGACGATCCGCCCATACTGCACGACTCCTGAAGACTCAAACCGGATGAGGGAAGTTTTGGAATCCCGAAATTCCTTGGCTATCAACAACCCTAACTACCAAGCAGTTCGCATTCGAGACAGCATCAAAACCCATCTCACAGACCCAAAAGATCCTTACCGCGCTTGGTATCGACGGGTAGCAGAACACTTCCAAACCCAATGGCGATCTCAAAAAATCGACCAGGCCATACTATTGTCCACCATGCCTATCAACCTGCATGAGAAGGTGCTGTTGGCCATGTCTGCCTTCTGGAATGCGGAAAATGGGACTTTCCTCTTACCATCGGGCCCCTTTGGTCCAACTCTTATGGATGTGGCAATGATCGCGCATCTCCCAGTCGTGGGTGAAGACCCTGTGATGGGAGCCCTAGATGGGCAGGAGCCATCAGAAGACCATCCAGGGTGGTCTTTACAAGGTGTGAAGGAATGGGGTTGGACAAAGTTCGCAACCGACCAACAAGGGGCTCCAGGGACCCCTGTAACCGACCGGGAGCATACTGCCTTTATCCTTTTCTGGCTTTGTAGATATGTTATTGTTTCCCCTTCCAAATGTGTTCTTCCTTCTCATCTCGACCTGGCCATTCA